GGATCTATGCTGACAGCTGTGATCAAGCCGGTTGACTTTCGTGGGCAGTGTCAACCGGATCTGTGCACAGCTGTGTCATACCGGGTCCGGCCGGCCGGTGACCGAGCGCGGCTCACTGGGGACCGCTGTCACGTTGTATGGGTCTGCACCGCACCAAGCGGAGCCGGCCACCTCCTCCCCCCCCCCCCCCCCCCCACCCTCGCTCCACCGCCGGAATGTCCGAGCACCTATTGTGCCGGCGGGCGGCGGCAATGCCCGCAATGCAGGCCACCCTGTCCAGCCGGTGGCTCGCCCAACGGGCACGACGAGGAATAAATAACATCGATGTGGGTAGCGCACTCGGCGTCAACAGATGACAGGTGACACTGGGGACGAGTCAAGCTGACGGTCACACCACACCGGGGACGAATTAAAGCCGAGGATTTCACCCCACTGGGGAGCTGACGGTCGCACCACGCCGGGGACGAATAAAATGAGGGTTACCCCCTACTGGAGACGAACCAAGCTGACATCACACCCTGGTGGGGGATAAGTCAAGCTGTCGGTCGCACCACGTCGAGGACGAGTTAAAACTGAGGGTTACCCCCCCCCCCCCCCCTGGGAATGAATCAAGCTGACGGTCACACCGCGGTGGGGATGAGCTAAACTGACGGTCACATACCACCGGAGGGCGAGTTAAGTTGACGGTCACATCCGACTGGGAGCGAGTTAAGCTGATGGTCACACCCCGAGTGGGGAACGAGTCAGGCGAACGGCCACATCCCACTAGGGGGCGAGTCAAACTGACGACCACACCCTACTGGCGCGGCGATGAGGTCACGATGTCACGTCAGCCCCCACGAGCCACTCCACCGCCATCCGTGGCGAGCGTGCGCCGAGCGTTGGCGCGCGCCACAGGAATGTCTACTGCGGCACGCGTCTCGTGTTCGACGACGAGGCCCGGGCGGCGGGCGCCGTTATGGTCAGGTACTGAGAATGGCGCGCGGCCGGCCGGCGCCGCCTGCTGCGCAGCCTTACGGCCGCTGGCAGGCGCAGGCGCAGCGCGTCACCACCCGGGTACCGCACGTGCAGCCACTTGCAGTGCCGGCCGCGCCGCCAGTCTTGGCAGTGCCAGCGCAGCAGGGTCAGGTGGCGACTGCGCGCCGGCTGACACGTCATGCCGGCCGGCACGGAGCAGGAGCGGGCCGTGTCGCACAGGCCCGTGCGCACCCAGCGCGGCCAGAAGCGCACTCCCAGGTCCTTCCACCGGTGGCGCACAGCACAGTGCGTGTACACGTGCAGGTACTTGAGCATCTTGCGCTGCACGCGCCGCGACAGCCGGACCCGCCGCGTGGTGCCGTTGGGAAGCGACAGCCTGTCGAGGCGGAGACGGCGCAGGCTGGCCGGCAGCCGGGAGGTCAGCTTCAGCCGGCCGTTCGGCTTCACCTGCGGCGGGCCGGTCAGCAGGTCACCGCGTGGCGCCGGTCTCACGCGCTGGGGTGGGGCGGCGGTCACAGCGTGGTACAGCCGTTCAAGGTTGAGGCGCGTGCCACAGTTAACCCCTGGCGCCCGGGCAGCGCCTTACAGGTCGGCACATCCTATCACATTTCATACATCACATGCTGCACACACTTCTCACATCTGTTCCAGGTTGTTGCCTTACGACACATAAGCAGCCCAACTAAATGTCCCACGGCCATTTCTGACTACACCCGCGCCAAGTACCCTTCCTAGGCCCTCCCGATTACGGTGTAGCATAGAGGGAGCCGGCGAGGCGGCACCTTGAATGGCAGCTTCCAGGTGGTGTGGTTGACGTCGCCGGCGGCAGGCGGCTGCTCGATGCCCATGTACTGCGTGTCCAGGAAGCGTCCGAGCTTCATCATCAGTCTCCCGATGTCCAGGTCGGCTGGCGACGGGTCGTACCTGCCGTGTACGGACAAGGCGCTGCAGAAACGACCTCCAGCCGAGCAGGATGGCACAGAAAGCCGGCCAGTACAGCGCTTTCCGCTACACCGAACGCTAAACTGCATTGTTGTCATTTGTAAAGCGAGCATCATGATATTTGGGAGAGTTCACGCTCGCTACCTTTCCTGTACATGAGAATGTCGTGTTTCTCCGCGCCAATAAAGTCCTACGTTTGTGAACTCGTCAGAATGCAGAAGAAGCACGCAATATCCAGAAAAGGTATCGGTATCAATTCTCCTGACAGATACCAGCGCATTGCATGCTCCAGATGGTGCTTTCAACTTTTTATTTACAGAACAACTGGGAAGCCAGGATCCAACTGCCTCTGCAATGTTTGGCTGATGTCATGGTCTACTGCTGGCAATGCCCAACAAAAATGCGTCCCATCATGCATAGCAATGTACGAAGAAAAGAATTCGTTGTTAAATTCAACCAAAAATCTGTTGTATTTTAATCGTCTGATCAAACCAAATCCAAGTTACAGGTGAATCTGTGATATGTTGATCAGTAATAACCACTATTGGATAAGTAAGCTATATTATTAACATAATTTATTTTACTACCTATATCTATATATTTCAGTACTATTTTCTGACAAGCAATTTAATCCCTGACCCATTCCGACGCAACAACAAACTGACGAAGAAGTAGTTGAGCAGTCACGTGTTACCCACCGCGTGTTTTTGCTCTCGACAAGGTCTACAACGGAGACTGACTTGTGGTCGGGCTTTGGCCTGTACTGATGCTCGCAGCGGGCCAGGGCTGTTTTCACCAGTAGGATGACCACGACTCGCCACTCAAAGGGGGCCATCTGAAAGGGCAGTACATCCCGTCTGTAAGCAGCGGAATCGTGATCACGAGACCAGAGGCATTGCAACTTTGGCGCTGTTTGAATGGTCCTGGCAGAAAAAGGCATAATTGGAAGCTTAATTTTACCGGTAAACATACATCGAAAGATTCACGCATGCATGAATTATTCCAAACAGTAAAGGCCTCGTAAACATCGTTTTTACACAGCGCCAGTGAGACATGTTCACCTGACACGGAAGTTGTGCGGTGATACTGCCTGGCTAATTGTCATTTGTTGTTTCATTATTCATTAAAAGTAAGTATGCCACCTTCGGGAAAATTGTCTGGGTACATCAACAAAAGGGTTTTTCCCTAGGGTTTACTCCAACTTCATCTCAATGTTGGGGGCCTAGAGCCCATGTTCGTGGAGGAGGGGGGGGGGGGGGGGGGGCATCTGGAGCCCCTCCAACTGAATAGGAAACTACATCCCAGGTTCTTTCCACGTTGCTTGTGCTCAGTATCATGTGCAGATACTGAAATTCGTCCCGCCGCGTCAACTTCACTGCCAACCAAACGGGGATCTCTTAGGTTGCACGCGTGTACATGTTCAAAATTATATATTTTTCTGTCTGAGGATCCTAGAATGTGACGCAGCACATACTTTGGTACACCGGGATTTAATTCTGTGACGAAATCCCATCCCCTGACCAATCAAAGCACGAGAAAGATGTCCGAATTCGCGGCCGGCCTAAGGTGCCATCAAATCCAAAGGCTCTGCACTTGCAGAGATCTGAGGGTTCTTCCTTGTTACTTCTATAGTCTTGGCAACAGTTGCTGTTGGTTCTGGTGGTGACGAATGGTGTCAGCCCGTGGCAGGCCTAGCGTGCGTTACCGATGCTGCTCCCTCGTAATGATTTTGCGATACCCCGGGAAAAGCACCGTATGATGAACAGTACAGCAGGAGAATCAACTCGTCGACGTCGTTCCGCTAGTCTGTCAATATCGAGGCGAATTCTTCATTATCTGTGCGCCCCTCGAACGCTTCCTGAACCCTAACAGAGTGTTGTCCGAGAGCCCCTTCTTCAAGCAGCGTCACGAGCAATAGGTCTTCCCCTACACTATCCATGCTTCAAAACACAGATGGTTTGCAAAGTGATGCAACAGATGAAAGTTCTCCAAGTCTATCCATCCGTAAGTCGTGGCTAAAACAAAGTTAGTGGGCTGGAGACGTCATGATGAGTAGGGGACTGATTCCTATCCAGTGTGTTAAAGCTAGATTTATTTGATACGTTTCTGAATTAGATACTCCAGTTTTTTAACTTTCAAGTCCGATTAGATATGATATGATTCCGAATCTGGCCCTGATTCATCAATGTGATTGATGTTTGTTTAAAAAAGAGATTGATTGGTGTAACGGATTGTAAGTAATTTCAGTTCCGACAATACAATCCTGATGGCAGTCCTTATTTATCAACGAACGTCTCTTTTAATACATTTTGATGTGTGCTCTCCAGACGTTATGGCTAAAAGGCTATCAGCTTTCTTGTGGTTTATTACCTCTGCAGGCTAAATATGCCACCTTGTGGCGAATCGATCATACTTATGGACAGTGTTTTCGCGTATCCCAGTAGCCCGGTCAGTTAGAAAAGCCTTCCTTCCGATTCACCCACCCGTGGCTGGGTGGGTCGCTTTAAGCGCTCACTATCTGGGCTTGACAGGCATGACCCACGGCCGGTGGCAGTGGCTGCGCTAGAGGTCAGATGACGTCAGAGGGCAGGGTGGACCGTGCCGAGTCTTGTGGCACTCATACAACAAGCCCTGCTTGGCATGAACTGTGTTGCCACAAATTTGTCCATTCAGAACTTTCAGATTCTTAGGCAATGACAAACACATTGGTTGCCAACGGGAAAGATGCATAGTTCGCGGTCATCAATGCGAATTTCAAGGCAAAATGCATAGCCCGTAACCAGCCTCATGACTGTCATTTGTTTAAGTCATAATGTGCCGGCCCCGGTGCCACTCTGCAAGTCTCCACCACGGCCGCTGCAGCCGGTGCATATATTGGCCCAATGAATGCACGCTGCGTTTCCGGCGTGCCACGGGCGCATGATATCACGGCGTCGCTCGAGCGCAGCGCGCCACGGCTGCTGACTGCTGACTGCTGACCGTCTGAGAACCACTTCCGGCTGCGACCCACAACACCTGCTGCTGAGGCAGCTGAGTTTGCTTAGGCAGCTCGGGCCGACGGGCGGTCGGCTGGCGCTCAATCCGCCCAGCAGTCCGGCCGCCTGGACTCCAGACTAAAGGCCAGTCTACCAGGTAATCAGTAACAAGGTTTTGTATGCAATGATAGAGACATGTTTCAAACGGATTTAGGTGTCTGGTATATACTCCTAATTGTGCCCAGCATAAAAAGTGGAACAAAACACATATTTGTCGCGTGGCAAAAATTCCATTGATTTCATTCATAATTGGACCGCGTGTTGAAACAGATTCCGTATCACTTTTTGCAGCATTGCAATGTTTTGCAGCAGCAGCATTGCGGTGGCATATTGGATCATCCCGAACCTTTTTGCTCAACTAAGCACCTGGCTGAAATGCACGTGCGCTTCCCGCCCTCTGAGATCCATTGTTGTCAACTGGCCAAAGCTGTCGATCTTCATGCATTCACATTATGAGAATCCATTTTTCGCGCATCTTCCGAAAATGAGGAACTTGGACCTACAAAATATTTAGGACATTTTGGTCAACAATTCCACAACTCATTGACCAAGCATACCCACGCAAAATGCGAATAAAATGTCAAATGAATTATAAACTGTTTTGTGCAAATGTAACAGCTACTCCATACTGCCAAGTCACAAATGGTAGAAATTGTGCCACGCTTGGGCTGGAACAGTTTTAGTGCTACCGGTCGAGCGTGAAAAAGCAATGCAGCTAAAAGAGTGCCTTGCACGACTCCCTAGAAACTGACTTCTCTGAATCCACGGCTTGACTCTGACCTGTCGCAGGTCAGCGAACCTACAAAGTACATCTAATTTTGCATGAAACGATTCAAAGTGCGGCGAACTAACCAAGTCAGTGTGGGTTACACTTCATCGTTTGTGCCTTCTGCACATGGTCTAGTCAGGTCTGTTGCAAGGGCGGGCAGGCGCAAAACCCTGAGCCGGGCCTGTGTCGGGAAGTTTATACTAGATAACTTTGGCTACGCATCTGGGTGCAATGATGTACCATCTGATTCGCTTAGCCATACTAGCTTCCTCCCATCATTGTTTCCAACCACGTTGAATTCATTTGGTGACTATGGCTAGATGCGTTAAGATGTAAAATATTCGGTGAACTGTTGAGGCGGTTGTTTATGGCGGCGGCTACCATGTGCCACCCTCCTCACCTATCAGCAGTAAAGGTCTCGCTCGGATCTCGTAAGGATCTTCTGGGTTGATCTAATCCACGCTCATATATGATCTCGGGTCAGACTTTTCGGAAAGCCCGGTCCCAGCTGACACAGGCGTGGAAGCTGTACCAGCCGACGCCGTGGTGGTGGCTGGCTCGGCTGTGGACCTCTGAAAGCTGTACCAGCCCATGCCTTGGTGGTGGATGGCTCGGCTATGGACCGCTGGAATGAACACCTCAAATCTTGGAAGGATTTTCGTTCCTAGTTTTGTCCGTCGTAAACAATGTGTCAGTGCGACTCGCATGCACTGTGATCATTTTATGCAGAGCAGGCTCTATCACAAAGCCTATCGCCTGCAGTGAATAATTTCTAAGTCAGCGCCAGACTTCAACAGAAAGTCTGCAAAATAACTAAACGCCCAATGTACAGTAGTTTCTGCTGCCTAGTTCTGCATGTCTCGGTGTTTTGGCATCAAAACGTGTTCCTATCTTCTCTGGTTTTAGAGCAGTGGCGGATTTTATGCAACACTGCACGGCGAACTTCACCATTTACGCGGCCGGCGGGCGGTAATCAGCGATGCTGCGGAACGCGCGCGGTGGGCCGACATTGTTACAATAACGGGCAATATATCATAAATGCATGCTCAAAAGACGCACAAATACAAACCGTTGTAATCGTAATTGAACGACAAACACGCCTGTCCAGGTTCCATATGGCCACGAAGCATGCTTTCGTGTGTATGATGCTTATAAATGCCGAAGTGATACCGAAAAAGTAATGCTTAATGATGGTGAAAAGGTGCAATTTTTGGAAAATGTGGCATCTGACCCGAAATAATTGTGTCTATCATTAATTTATTAACGCGAGAACTAGTACCCATCGCGCCTGGGCCTGGAACACGTAGGCCTCGTTGAAAGTCTGCTGAGAAATTGGCGCGTGCAACAAAACACCAGCGGGAGTCAGAACACACCACCCATCCAAACATTACAGGCGTTCTGTAAAGGAGACCGGAGGCTAAATATTTTATACGATACCATAATGAACATTAGAGATGGTAGAGATACAGACATAGTAGAAATGCATGGAAATTTGAGTGGGGCGAAGAATTTGTCGGCATCACTTTGGTTCACGTTTATATTTCCACGTAAAGCTACACTGTCTGTGCACCTTTCCCTTGCACGTTAGTGATAATCTCGAAAATGGCCGCCACAGGCATTACTCTACCCCAGGTAGGAGTCACAAAAACAGAAATGTACGGGAGCTGAAACAGATATCGGAAAACAACAGCGCATGAACGCCGTAAGCATCACCATGTTCACGACCATTGGGATACTGTGACTGGTTGGCTAAATTCATTGATGGGAATTGATGGGTTTGTGACTGGAAAAAGAGGCGACAGTGGTTGTTTGTGATAACAGCAATTGCTCACGTACTTGACACGTGTATGCTTATCATCGATCGAAGAGATCACTTAGGCATCAAATACCTTAAAAATAGGTGCATCGTTAAAAAAGAAATCGATATGTTATGCAGTACAAGGACTATACGGAAAAGTACAACGCAGAGTGAAATGCAATGAACTGACATGGCAAGAGTGTGACGCTGTATGTTCAGATTTTATAGTGCAC